GCTGAAAGTGTCCGTCGCAAATCCGTCGCTGATTTCCGTCGCTGATCCGTCGCTGATAGCATTACCTACGACTGTTTGACCGACGGAGTATCAGCGACGGATCAGCGACGGACAACCCTTTCAGCGACGGATCAGCGAGGGAAATTTCCCTCGCTGATACCCAGCATTTTTGTAGTGACTAGAGCCACCCAAAATGCACCCCAATCGAACACAGAATGGTGCACAACAACCCAACACATGCTTCACGATGATCAAACAAAGGTTGGTTATGTCTGCTGAATCCCATTTCCGGCACCAAAACCCTCTCTTCCGCTTCTTCTCCAGCTCCAGTATTGGTGTGGACTCCGGTGCTGCCATTGTTACATAATTTGCTTTTTGTTATAAAGCAGGGTGACCTTTGTTGCTGGGAATGGAACTTGGCCAAGAAGTTTATATATATATATGTATACATTCATTCATAAGCACTGTAAATCGAACTGTAGATACACTTTCAACCTCAACCAACCAAGATATATTTAGGTTCAAACATTCAACTATAGATACACATTCCAAATGCAGAGTTACAAGCAAATTATAGTCATTTATTCCTGAATCAAATAGTGATAATTATTTAATTAAAGATACATATTTTGATCACAATCATACTTGTTATACAAGTAGAAGTATTACACATTTATGATCCATGGATACATGACTTGGAAGGGGTTACTCACTTGCAGCAAACGATTTCTTAAGTTTTTGAGCTTCAGTTGGCAACTTGACGTTGGTGGCTAACCCTAATGCTTCCAGAAACCTTATCACATACCAAACAAAGTCGACCTGCCACCATTCTAACCCATGTCGAGCTGAATACTCGAACGCATGATGATTGTTATGCCATCCGTCACCAAAAGTAATCAACGCCATCCACCTATACATGTATCGTCACAAGATTTAAACATCGAACATTATGGTTTGATCCGCTATATATAATAATTTTTGAGAAAAAAAGTGCAAACCAATTATTTTTGGAAAGATCGCCGGTGTCCCATGTTTGATTTCCCCATATGTGACAAACCGAGTTCACGAAAAACGTAGCATGGTAAATGCATACAGTGGAAACACCCTACATATCCTCTCATAGTTCAATAAACTTACTGTTAGGCAATAAACTCGTATATAATTAAGCAAAGTCTTACCACGACCCAAACGAGGTAGGTAAATCCACCGAAAGCATAAACAAGGGCTGTAAATGAATATACATGAAATCCATGAGTTCTGTTAAGGAACCTATAGAATTTTTGACTCTTTAAATCTTCTACGTTTTTACGGTCTTGATACTGCAAAATATATAACCAACATGGACGAGAATATTAGCCAAAAACAAACTCTCTTTTCAGAATTTGAACCTATGAAGTACCTTTTCAATAACGGAGCCGCCATCAAAGAGCCATCCCATATGACTAAACCAAAAGCCGTTGGTGGGAGAGTGTGGATCTTTCTCGGTGTCAACGTATTGATGGTGATATCTATGGGTGCTCACCCAAAATATTGGATCCCCCTGAGACAGTTTTTATATAGATATTTACTCAAAAAGAGCTATTAGAGAATCTCCAATCGACCGGCATAGCATTGGTTATACATCTCCAATCGACCGGCATAGCCCTGGTTATACATCTCTAATCGACCGGTATAACCCTGGTTATGCATCTCCAATCGACCGACATAACCCTGGTTATACAAATTTGTCGTTTTTATTTTAATGTCTTTTATTAAATAAATTAATTAATAATATTTATTTATTATTGCAGTATGTATTTACAAATTATAATTGTTGTTATTTAAAGTAGTAAATAAAAT